AGTGCATTTGCCTTCTTGGTCTTTAGTGGTTTCCCTTCTCCCTGACACCTCAACATTGCAGTGCTGGGGGAGGTGAAAAGCCTACTTTTCTTCTAACTGCCATATAGTTATTCCATGCACCTATTTTAACATCTCCACTTGCATATCCAAAACACAAAGTTCATATGCTCGAAACTGAATGCCTGAACTTCCCTTTAAACTTAGAATCTAATAGTGGTCTTTTTATCCTTCCCATTGTTGAAAGCCAAAAACTTGGGTTCTGCCTTTAAAATCCATCAAGAATCAAACCTTTTTGCCACCTTCCTTTCGCTGGTATCACCACTGTCCCAAGTCACTGTCATCTGTCACCTGGAAAATTGCAGAATCGGTTTCCCTGGCTTCCCTGGTTTTCCCAGAAAACCTGTTCCCCTACAGATTTTTCTCAAAACAGCAGTCAGCACAGTCCTTTTAAAATATGTCATATAATGTCATTCCTTTGCTCAAAACTCTCCCATTAACTCCCCCAATTCACTAAGTATAAAAGCCAGTCTCTGTAATGACTCTACATGATCTAGCCCTGCATTGCTGTCTCATTTCATTTTTACTAGATCTCTCTTTCCACTTCAGCCACCTTAGCCTCCTTGTTCTTTACCATGCCCTACATACATGCAGTGTAGGACCTTTGCATGTATTGTTCTCTCCACCAGGAAAAGCTCTTCTAGGTATTTATATGGCCGACTCTCTTACCTCCTTCATGTGTTTGGTAAAATGTCATCTTCTCAATGAGGTCTAAAAATGGTTTTAAGATTGAAACCCATCTGCTCCTCCCCAACTCTCCCCACTCTTAATCCTACTCAGTATTTTTCTATAATACCAATTTTTAGGATATATAGCAATATGAAGCAGATAGTGTTTGTTGCTGTGCCCTACCCCCTCACCTCCCAGCCTCTGTTAGAATGTAAGTTTCATAAAGACAAGGGTTTTTGTTTCACTGAGATACATCCCAGATGCCCAGAACAGTGCCTGGTATATAGTAGGCATTTAATAAGTGTTCACTGAATGAGTGAATGAGTGGTTTTATGACTTAGTAATGGTTGAAACCCACTCTGAAAACTCAGTTTGAAAAATGCTGGTCTAGTGTGACTCAATCCTTAATTTTCTGCTTGGGGTGCTAGTGTGTATCAGCAAACTTTCTGGAATAATTTAAAATTTTCACTTTTTAGTTTTTAGTTAGTTTTGTTCAGTTAGGTTTGGTTTGTCCAAGTACTTGTTGGGAGTCACTCTAAAAATAATCTAAATGAAAACATAACAATGCTTTTCTGATATTACCATTTGTGTTCCATAACTTTGAAAGCCTTTCATTTACTGTTAGTAATTTTTACTTCCAGACATTTTTCCAGGCACAAACAGGTATTAAATCATACTATATACGATGTTCCACAACTTGGATTTTTGGTTTTGGAATTTGGTTGGTTTTTGTTGTGTTAGTTATTTGTTTTGCATCTACTATTCTACCATGGACACTGTGTCTTGAGATGCAGTACACGGATGCCAAGCCAGACTGGGTTCACATCACTTTGGTAATTTGTCAATTACGGGACTCTAGTCAAGTTACTTAAGTTTTCTGTGTCTCTGTTTCCTCATTTCTTAACATGGGAGTAATTTTAACTACATCATACAGTATAGTAAAGATCCAGTGTCACCAAAGTACACATGTGTGCATATAAATGGTAGCCATCGTGACTAGTATTACTTCATATTTATCACAGCTATATAAGATCCTCTGTTTTGAAAACACTCTTATTGATGCCTAAATATCTTCATTTTCTTCTAGCATTTTATGATTGATGGACTAGTTCTTTCCCAAACCCCTATGCCATACATTTTTATTCTATCTGAAATATATTGAGGTAGTGATCTATTTTTTTTCAAACTTGTTATTTCCAGTACATACCATCTCTTCCCCAATGATCAAATTCCCATATATTCTTCAAGCTCTTTATAGACTCTTGTTCTCACTGTTTCCTGTCTCTTCCTATAAAATACTGATTTTAGTTGCTATAGCTTATATCTTTTGATACATTAATAGCCCCACTACACACACTCAAGCATATACACATTGTTCTTCTTTTAGGAACAATTATTTTTCCAGATAAATTTTGGAATAATTATATTGGGTTTTAAACAAATACCTACTAGAATTTTGTTTCAAAAAGTGTTAGAAGTATATATTAATTTGGAATAAATTTGTATCTGTACAATACTGGGGGTTAGAACTAAAAAATGTCCATTTATTCAAGGCTTTCATTTTTTGATATGTGTCACATACTTGTTGTAAAGTATATGGCTGGGGTAGCTGGGTGGCTCAGCGGTGTAGCACTGCCTTCAGCCCAGGGCCTGATCCTGGAGACCCGGGATCGAGTCCCATGTCGGGCTCCCTGCATGGAACCTGCTTCTCCCTCTGCCTGTGCCTCTGTCTCTCTGCCTCTCTGTCTCTCTCTCTGTTTCTCATGAATAAATAAATTCTAAATAAATAAAGTATATGGCTGTGTTTTCCATAGTTTTTGTTGCCATTTTGAACATGCTCTTTTTTCCCGTGATGCAATTTAATAAAAGATGGATTAGGGCAGCCCAGGTGGCTCAGTGGTTTAGCACCGCCTTTGGCCCAGGGTATGATCCTGAAGACCAGGGATTGAGTCCCGCATCAGGCTCCCTGCATGGAGCCTGCCTCTCCCTCTGCCTGTGTGTCTGCCTCTCTCTCTCTGTGACTCTCATGGATAAATAAATAATAAAAAAAAATCTTAAAAAAAAAATAAAAGATGGATTACATGTACATGTAAGGTATTAACACAGATATATGTGTATACATGTCTTACATCCTTCACACTCTAATACTTATGCAGTTCTTTTAGATTTTGTAACCTTGCAGTCACATCATATGCAAATTATAAATTTCATCTTCCTTTTTAATGTTTGTATCACTTTTTCTTAATTTGTTGTAGCAACTGGACTCTAGAATGATGTTATTAGATAATAGTGATTATAGCAGGTATATGTTGATTCTATGTATGTATAATTTAATTTTAAAAATTTTTGTGACTTTATTGGGTTGATCACATTATTATCTCTACTTAGCCTTACTTGATGCCCTGTTTTGTATTAAACCAGAGAGTACTTGGGATAGTATAAGATCTTTTGCTACTCTGGAAACTACAAAAACATTATCTTTGGCTAATAATAAAAAGAGTAGTAATTCTCTGAATTACTTAAAGGTTTACATCTGAAGTGAAGGATCTACCCCATCCAAGCAAATATGTTAAAAGTTATGGCTATAAAGTTTGATTTTAAAATTATGTGACATAATGCCATTTTTTTTCTTGCGCCCTCAAAGTGAATTATAGGCTGGCCTCGCCTTCCTCGATAACTCAGTTTTGTAAGCTGCAAATAGATGCCAGGTGTGGCTGCCTGCAGCCTGGGATACTAGTTCTCAGGGTGCTTCTGATGTGAATTCCACCTCAGCCCTCCCAGCAAGCCAGTGTCAGTAATTCCTTGGACCCTGGAAATGCTGATCTTGGCTATTTAAGCAGGGCTGAAGGTTAGGTATAACAGATTGTTCAAGTCTATCTGACTTTAACTCTCTTAACAGTTTAACTCCATCTGGGCAATAGAAAGCCAGACATTTTAAATCATGTCAAATATAATCAAGAATTAAATGTGTTAGCTTAGTTTTCTTTGACCTGCTAGTTGCCTTTTATTCACAGATAAAATTACTAATACTTTGGATAATTATTTTATTGCTGTAGAAGGAGGAAGAGAAAATTTTATACTTTTTCTTAAAACTAGGTAAAAGTTTACTTTTATCCACCCCTACTTACTGGTTTCTATATTTATTGGCTATAGGACATCTAAAAAAATTTTTTAGGTCTCAGTTTAAAATTTAATTGAAGTAACTACTTAATTTCTCAGTAGTCTTAGTCTACTTTATATCTTTTAGTTAGCTTAGTAATATTAGTATTTTTTCGGGTTTTTTATTATGAAAAATGTCAAACCTACGATGGTTATCTTGTAGAATGGTCCACATTCTGGATTTGTCTCCATGTTCCTTCATTATTAATGTAAGAATTTACAGTCATCGTAGTTTTTCATTATTAGGTCCGTTTGCTGAGAATAATTTTTATACTTGTGTCATGGCACTTAGTAATTACTAATATTGACCTGATTCCATTTCGTTCTGTTACTGAATATGATCTGAATGGAGAGATCCTTTAAGTAATGGTTCTGAGAACAGGATCCTAATTTTAGAAGATCTGTGTTCCCTCCATTTCTAACAAAGATTTCCTCTGTGGCCTTGAATGAGTTATTCAACCATTCCACCTGTGCTATATAAAACACAGAGAATTGCTTACCTCTTTTAAAGTTTAGTGGATGTTTATAAAGCCCATAGAAGATATAAAGCATAGCTAAAATGGTAATAGTTAGAGAAATGATTGGGATTTCTTTTTGGAGTCCGTTAAGCCTTCATTTACCCTAAGTGTTATATCCTCAGCAGATACTGCTGTCTCCTACTTAGATCTGAAGGATAGGAACACTAACCTTAAATGCCTACTGTGTGGTAAGCACTGTGCCAGAGTCTTCAAATACATCTTCTTGTTTAATTTTTAGGCCTCCATTTAACCTGTGAGATATGTGAATTTCTTATTTCCATCTCATTGACAAGGAAACCCAAGGGTCAAAGAGGTGTGGTAGATTGCTCTGTATTCCAAATGTAGTGGAAGTGCCACTATCGGGCTGTGAGCCCAGGTTTTCTACATTTTCTGAGTTAAGCTTTATTATGAGAAGTTTCCTAATACTTCTGAAATGTCACATACACTGAAGAAGATCTCTTTCCTCAAATTTGGTAGCTACTGGTGATGAATCTGTACCATCTTCATCTGACCAGAAACATTTAATATGCAGCAGTGTTTTTTAAGTATATTGATTTTCCAGTTACAGTATATCTCCTGTCACTGGTTCTTTTCTAGGATGTTGGCAAAAGATGAACTGATGACCATTCTTCAGAAATGTTTCAAGATTTTTAAGTCCACTTCTGAAAAGCAGCTTGGGAGCACAGCAAAGAGAATAGAGGAGTTTCTGGCCCAGTTTCAGAATCTTGATGGTGAGAATATAGTATCTTGCCAATTCTACTGGCTATGACAGTCATTTAAATAAAATAACACAGAAAATCCCACTTTCTAATGTTTCAGAGATGAGAGATAAAGTATTTCATGGTCAGCATACCAACCCTCAGAATATCATATCTTGACAATCATAAATAAGACAAGTGGTACTCTTCCAGATTTGGTTTAAACAGTGAAAATCATCAAATGGGCAGGAAAAAGAATTCTTTTCCCAGATGGACAGTTTAGAAGACTTACCTTAAAGGGGGAGGGGGGTAACAAAAAAATAAAAAAGATTGGAGTATCAGGGCATCATAATTAAGGACTTGTCAGATTCTTTATGGATTTCAAAAACACTGCATAAATCATTTGTAAGCCTGAAAAATTAATAGCTGTGAACCACTTGCACAGCGATGAGGCTCATTGGTATGCTGATTACCAAAATATGCATGAGGTTGGCTTTAATCGGATTTATAAAAGCTGGAATCTTTCACCCCTAAATGAACTGAGGCAGCCTGGCATACCCTAGTGTTAGAGTTACTTTGATTTTGCCTGACCGCCACAAGATCATTTCTGTTTGTTGAATGCAGGGGTAGCCTGATTGTGTATGGGTAGCCATGTTGTTTTCTGATGCAGCAGGACTTCTGTGTTCTTACGGGGCACCATGGATTGATACTGATTATTAACTTTTCATGGGCTCTTCTCTTTCTTTTGTTACAGGACTAAAGTATGGCATTATTTTGGTAAAGCAAAACAAGTGTGCACCCTTTATTTCTCCCTATTTAGGGAAATTTTAATTTGAGAGGTTAGGGGGATGAGGCAGCTTGTCTTGTAGTAAGCACATAGATTGGACATGGCATGGTGAATATAGTTTATTTGGAATGTCTATATCAATCCTTTCCGTGTTTGACAAGTGTTCCTTTGTCTTAAAAATCCTTTGAATTAAAGGAAACTGCTTTTGCCGAAATCTCTCCATATCTCTCCATAGCTGGAATGCTAGGGAACTGATGAGTGCCTAGTCAATGGAAGATGAAGAGAACGTTTGCTTGCCTGGAGTGACATGAGCAGCCAGAAATGAGAAAATAAAGTAGTAAGAGGGTCTGCTTCAGGTATTTGTAGGCATTGCTCTTTTGTAGTACAGAAGAGGTTGAACCATTTTTCAAACCATAAAATATTAAAAGACTAGAAATTAGTATCACAGAAATCATTGAGTTCAGTTATAAACAGAAACTAAAGCCCAGAAAGAGTGTAACTTGCTCTAGATCCCACAGCTAGCTAGTGCTAGCACCCACCTCTCTTAAACCAGCTCATTGTTTTACTTCCTGTCATTCACAATTTAAATACCCCTTAACTGTGATAACTGGGACAGTGAGGGGACACCCTTAAGGACATAAAAAAGGTAAAAGACTTCATATAAAGTAAATGTCAGTCTTTTACAAAATTGGACTTGGATTTTTGTAAAAGAAAACTTTAGATATTGTAATTTTAATTGACAAGCTGGTGAAACAAATTCTCTGGTATGTTAAATAATAGAGGAATGCAGCTTTTAGAAATGGAAAGGTTGGAGATTAAGATGATTAATGTTCGAAAGGTAAAGAATTTTACAAGTTGGGACAAAACTAGTGTCTTGAAGAAATATCTGTATTTCTCTATTCTCAAAATGACATAGTTAACAATAAAAGTAAAATTAAATCTCCCACAATGGACAAGTAGAAATATTTGACTATATGCTATCACTGGTTCCTTTTAACACTTCTATTTTACAGTCTGGGTTTAAAATTACAGAAGTAGATCAGAGTGTCATATCAGATCTATTTTTAAGGCTCTGCTATGTATTAATGATATGGGACAAAGAATTTATTGGATATTTTAACCTTAAATTATGTTTTTCTTGGAACAAGAATTATCCATAGCTATGAAGAAGTTTATTCTTTGAGAAAGTGCAGATTCTACAGCTGCATCCTCTTGTCTTAGATTTAGTCCAAGTAAGCCATGTGAATGTGAGGTGCCTAAAACCTGCCTTTACTGGGGAAGGGTTTTTTAGAGCCTCGTGTTCTCTACAGGCACAACTACACCTTTTACCAGATACGGTTTTCTGTTCCCTTTGCTAAAGAACCAAGGTGTACTTTGTGTTTATTTCAAACTCTTTACACACTACCTTTTTCATAATCACATAGCCTTGCATCAAAAATAGTGGATTGGAAGGTTGAGGCCAAGTTTGGCAGGGTGTAAGTTTAAATTTGTTTTTTAAAAGCTATTTAAAAGCACAAAAGATTTGGAGCTTTTTGCTCTTGGGTTGTGGGGTTTTGTATGTTTGTACTTTGTTTTGCTTTTATTGTGGTTATGTTTTTAAAATCCAGTAGTTAGTTTTTGGAAGCCATCTTTGCAGCATAATTTATGTAATGTTTATTGACCTTCAGCTTCTGGGAGAAACCATTTATTTAATGGAAACTTGATCCTTTGCCACGTTGGAAAAAAAAATAGATCAAACTTTCTTTTGGAATAGTAGAAATATTTGTTCTCTTTGATTTGAATGGATTTACCCTAGTTGCTGTGTATTGGTTTTGTATTAAAAATTAGAAGCCAAAGAAGAAGAAGATACTTCTGGGTCACTGTCAAAGGGGCTTCAGAAGACAGACCTCTATCATCTTCAGAAGGTAACTTTTCCTTCCAACTGCATCCTGGCACTTGTTTTTTTCAGCATGTGCTCTAGATTAGTTCTGCCTAAATGTTTTTGTTTTTATTTGAGAGAAAGAGAGAGACACAGAGATAGCAAGAGAGAGCACAAGCTGAGAGGAGGGGGAGAAGCAGGGTCCCCATTGAGTAGGGAGCCTGAACCAGGGCTTGATCCCAGGACCCTGGGATCATGACCTGAGCCGAAGGCAGACGCTTAACTGACTGAACCACCCAGGCGCCCCTGTTTTTATTTTTAATCCACAACCAGAAACAAAGGAGATTTTGTAACTCACTTACAAATTGAACATCCTGTTTATCTGATCCATTGCCATTCTCATTCTGTATTTACAAAGTCTAGAATTTACTAGCCAACGTAGGTGGAAACTGTTCCTTTAGCCTCAGAGAAAAAGAGAATCAACTACTAATAAGGAAAAACTGAACATTGTTGCAACAAGCAATCTGATTACTTATCTGATCTTTGTTTTTTTTGTTTGATCAGAGAAATCCAAAAGAGAGAGCCTAACTTTTTTAATGCATATTCAGTAGAGAGCAGAAACTGAGCCACAAGATGTGCAACATAATCTTTTTCAGATCATTCTAACTTTAGGATCTTGGTTGTTCTTAAATGTAAAGAACCTTCTTTGTATCCTGATACCAAGCTATGATAAATATGGAATAAACGTTCAATCAAAGCAAGACAGAACTACATTGAATTTATTCTATTTTGATGGCCAAAGGCTAAGGGTTTTTTGTTTTTTTTTCTTATATTTTTAAGTCCTTTTCTTAATGAAGTAATGGGTTGTGGATTGTGGGCACTCTGCCATATGATGGCAATAAAGTGACTGTCCTTTTTCTCTTTCCCTGAAAATCCATTATATATATATATATATTTTTTTTAATATTTATTTATTTATTCATGAGAGACACAGAGAGAGACAGAAGCAGAGGGACAAGTGGGTTCCATGCAGGGAGCCCGATGAGGGATTCGATCCCAGCATGCCAGGATCACACCCTGAGCCAAAGGCAGACACTCAACCTCCGAGCCACCCAGGCATCCCTCATTTGATATACATTTGAAGCAAAATACTTGGAAGGAGAGATTCTTTCTAGACCTTAAAAATTAAAAAATAACCCATTTTGATCTGGTTCTTTCTGTGCACATTCTGTATATGGACCCAGCGCTCCCCTGTTAGGAATTTTCTATTGCAGAATCACCAGGAAAAATATGTTCTTTCATCCATAGTCCTTACTGGAAATGAAGGAACTAAGAAGAACAAATAAGAAGCAGACCAGATTTGAAGTACTCAGAGAAAAAGTTGTCAACTTCATTGACAGTCTGGTAAGGTGAGTCTATGGCTCTGAAAAGCTAAAAATCAGGCTGTATTACTAACACTGGGGTAATAGTTGTCCACAGCCAGCCCTGGGCACTTTCTCCTAGATTAGGCTTCCAGCTTAGAATTGTAATTTTGATTCATTTTCCATTCTTAATAGATGTCTGATCAAATGACGGGTTCAGTCTTTACTGAGAGTTCAAGAACACAAATTTGATCTAGTTCATTAAGCTGGGGTGGGGGGATGAAAACAGAAAGTGAATGTTTTTCCCCTTTATAATAACAGTGTTTGCATTGCACTTTATCTTTGCTCTGTCTTTGCTGGGAGTCGCTGGATCTGGGCCAAGCCCAGAAGACAGAGCAGGCCAGACGTAATGCCCTCTTTTATCCAAAGTAAAGGACTTCTAATTCTAAAGAATACCAGTGCAACTTATTGTCAGTTGAGAAATGTACTCATAGTAATTTAGAAGTCCATTAGTCCTGCCTATATTTTAAGATGACTCCTTTTTGGGAAACCCAGATTGTTCTGATTCAAGGATTTCCCAAAAGCCAGTTTTATGTAGGTGTGTGAAATTACCCACCTAAAAGCTGCCTTTCAGCAGTTGGGACATGCTATAGAAAAAAAAAAAAGTGTGAAAAATAAAATGATTTAAGAGCTTAAAAATAGGAAAAAACTTATCATTGCTTATTCTGTTTTTTTTAATAGCAGTTCAAACGGCAGGCTAGGCACTGAATATAATCAAGTACTAAAAGGAACAGCTCAGTCCCTGAAGACGGAGAGTAGTTTTCTGATAAATTACTTGTCCTTAAACATGAAAAGTTCTGTTTTCCAGGACAATGTGGGAACAGGGTCATTGTTCCTAATCCCTGGGGAGAAATCATTAATGTCATAAAAAAGGTCCAGATGAGCAACCAAGTGTGACAAAAGGAAGATTAAAGTGAGAAATGTGTCATGTACAAGTGAGGCAATATAATACTGAACTGACCTACTGACCAGAATTGACCTTTTAGAATGCATACAGTTAACCTTGCCCTACTGGGCTTTGCTGTTTTGGTATTTTCTTGCCCCAAGTTTCTGACTCCTTTCTTTTACCAACTTGTGACTGTTACGGTTAAAAAAAAATGGTTAAAGTGTATCTTACCATAATTTAGTACACATTTAGTAGGCCAAATGTCAGGTTCATCTGAATTCCCACAAATTCCATGCTGTAGGCTCTGAAATCAAACAATCATTCTTCTTTGATCTTTGACCTAATTGTGATTTTTTTTCCTTTCTGAGAAGTTACTGAAGGAAAGGTGAGTATGACTGAATTGTGCTGCATTGTGAAATCACAAAATTTTCCATACCAGGATTTACAGTCTTTATCAAGATTGACTATCCCAGGCAGGGAGAGATTAGGATTGTAGCATGTCAGAGCTAAAAAAGACTTAAGGAGTCATGTGGAAGCTAAAACCCAGAGAGAAGCTAAAACTTATGCAAAGTCACACAGTCCTGGTCTGCTGATGTCCATCAGAAGTCCCTCTCCATTCTACTCTCTCCAAGGAGGCCTCAATCACAGATGTTTGAACAAGCTTGGAGTCCTTGGAGAAAAGATGTTTGTTAAAGATAGATATAAGCAATAGACTCTCAAGAGACAGGGTTCCTGGTTTACCATGAGGAGCTCCTGAGAAAACTGAGAAGGGCAAATAAAAGTACATGCTATTTCCTACGTTATACATCAAAATACAAGCTTCAACTTTGTAGCCCTTGTTGATATTAAGTAGTCCCTCCAGATTCCCTCAAAACCTCCTTTCCTGTTTGTTTTTTTAGATTTTATTTTATTTATTTATTCAGAGAGAGAGAGAGAGAGAGAGAGGCAGAATCACAGGTAAAGGGAGAAGCAGGCTCCATGCAGGGAGCCCGATGTGGGACTCGATCCCGGGTCTCCAGGATCACACCCTGAGCTGCAGGCTAAAGCGCTGCGCCACCGGGGCTGCCCCCTCTCCTGTTAATGAACTCTGATCTGAATCCAAAAGGAGCACCATGCAGTGCTCTAGTCTAGTGCTAGGCGCACTGCTTATTTCTTACAGCAAGTAAGCTGCAAAGTAGATTCCTTTGCTACTCTCCACATTTGCAGTTAGACAAAAAGTCTAATGTATGATATTTTGTCACTGGTGGGGGTGATGGCAAAGAGAAGTGTTTTAAATAGTCCTCCGATTTTTTGGACGTCTTGTTCATCATTTAGGCTTCAACTAATGTAGCAGGCCAGTGTAAACCAAATATAGGCAAAAATTTTATTTTGCCTCTGATGGAGGTTCTTTGAGGATATCCAAAAAGGCCTTTTGCCTTGGAAATTAACTGAATTTCTAAACGTTAGATGTTAAAAAGGGAGGAGTACAAATGTGAGATAATTTTTGACATTGACTCTGCTTGTCTTGATTTCCAGTCCTTATTACATAGCAGGACTTCAACAGGGTCTTTTTTTTTTTTTTTAAAGATTTTATTTATCCATGAGAGATACAGAGAGAAAGGCAGAGATATAGGCAGAGGGAAAAGCAGGCTCCCTGCAGGGCACCCGATGCTGGAATCGATCCTAGGACCTGAGCCAAAGGCAGATACTCAACCACTGAGCCACCCAGGCGCCCCCTCAACAGGGTCTTTTAATGACAGTCATTGTAACAATTGGGGAAACAGCCTGCGGTTGGTGTAGGAAGAGTTTATGGCCAGAAATTACAAATGGGTAGCTAGCCAGCTAGGGAGGCAGTTGATGTTACAAAACCCATGCCAGAGGCTACAGCTAAATTTATCTTGTAAGGTATAGAATGATGAGCCTTAGGCCCAAGTCAGAATCATACACTTTGCAAAACGGGTTTTATTCTGAGTAACTCTACGGAAGGAGCAGGAGGCAGGAGTTCTCCTGAGATGGGGAGGAGTGATGTACATGGTTAATACCCTCTTCACTTCCTCTCTTCCTCAAAGCCGCTGACCACAATGGGTGGAGCAAGTGTAGTGGGATTTTTCTCCCAGGACAAGAGAAGAGACAACAGGAAGAAAAGGGTAATTTCCCTGGTGGCTGGGCCTGAGGCCGCTGCTTTGTTCTGCCTGGGCTTGGTGGGAAACTGCATGGACACATATCTGGCATGTGGCCAAAATATTTAAAGCCCAGGACTACACTAAGCCCCCCAATTTTTTTTTTTAAAGATTTTATTCACTTATTCATGATAGAGAGAGAGAGACAACCAGACTCCACCGGGAGCCCAACACGGGACTTGATCCCAGGATCGCACCCTAGGCCAAAGGCAGGCGCTAAACCACTGAGCCACCCAGGGATCCCCAAGCCCCCCAATTTTTATGAAGGCATGTGAGCTAACAACTTTAATCAAGTTAGTGACTTATTACTCTTACCTTTGGGTTGTGTTTGCCAGAATTTCTCTCTTCCAATTCGCTACTAACCTACACACCAAAAGTGATGTCACTGTCGTGGCACAGGCAAGCTGATAGGCTCATTAGACACTGAAAGTGAACTGTTCTTTGTATTTATTTACTTTTTTTTAAGATTTTAATTATTTATTTGAGACAGAGCACAAGCAGGGGGAGAAGCAGAGAGAGGGAGAAGCAAGCTCTCTGCTGAGCGGGGAGCCCGATACGGAGCTCCATCCCAGGACCCTGGGATCATGACCTGAGTCACCCAGGTTCTCCTGAAAGTGAACTTTATAATGCTTTATTTCCCTCGTTCAGATTTCATTAAAATCAGGTTGTCCTCTAACCCGTAAGAGAAAAAACCCAAGTTACAGTGGTTTTTCTAATTGAAATTTTGAAGATGAACAATTTGCTTGTTTTCCAATATTTTGAAGCTAAAATTTAGTCTTTTCTGCCTTCTAAAGTAAAATTTAATTCTAACATATAAAGAACCTTTCAGGTATCATTTCTATGAAACATACCAATTAAAACATTTTCTGTGATCCAAAAAGAATTTCCTAAACTCAATCCTAGGCCTGAGGCCTGTGTTTAAACACTGTCAAGAGTTAAATGTCAGCTATGGTAAGTAATGTGGCTATCTCAGCTTTCCAAATAATTATTTTAAGAAAGTATTCATTAATGCTGTAAGAAGTTCAACCTTTATGGTTTTGAGCAGAAATATAACTTATGTACATTTGTACCTAAAGGCTTAAGTCAGAACTGAAATACAGTTTCTTAAATTCTGGTGAATATGAAAGCTTTAAAAAATACTTTATGTAAGAGGTATAATTCTGAGTGAACCTGTACGAACTCTGCTATTTGGCTTTTGTTTCATTTGTTTTTCGTTGTTGATTTTGCCTTTTAATAGCTCAGTCTTCCACAGAAGATTGACCAAAATGTTATAATGAACATTATCTTATCTAAAAGCTGATACCTCACTTTGGCTGTTTCAGAGAATATCTTCTGCCTCCAGAGACACAGCCTCTGCATGAGGTGGTGTACTTTACTGCTGCTCACACCCTGCGTGAACACCTGAATGCTGCTCCAAGAATCGCTCTCCACACTGCACTCAACAATCCTTATTATTATCTCAAGGTAAAAAGCAAATTCATTACTCTTGACAGTTTAGTTCACAGTCTTTACCACAAAAATTTGCAGTCCTAACTAGTGGGGAGTTGGTAGCACAGGATTATCTTTTTCAGGTTTTAAAAAAAAATCTTTAGACTTTAGAGGGCATTTTCTAAGCCAGTGAAGATTCCAATCAGTAGGCCACTAATGCTGCCAACTTTTGATGGTCTGTACATGTCTTCCATGTGATCAAACCAGGTCACAGCGGGCACTAAGATTCCAGAGTATCCTATTCTTGTGAAAATAAATGTTTTCCTACAGACCTAACAACAGATCATGGGTCAAAAAATATGGTCTAATGAAATTACAAGGATCCAAATGGTTGTTTCTGATGAAAGAAATAAGTACTTTGGGATTTTGTCATGGATTTTTAAACCCAAAGATCACTCTGAGTATCTCAAGAGCTGAGTATAAAGGATAGCCAGCAACCTGCCAGGGACAAAACTCCTAAAATCCAGAATTTGCTAGTTCTAAGAAGCTATTCTTTAAACAGAGTTCAAGAGAGTTCAGAATTTTAAAAACTCTCTTACGTGACCAGGTCATCATTTAAACATTTCTGTAAGCTACATTTCAAGCTTATGTATACATGGAAGTAATTAGACAATTTGCTAATAAGTTAACTTGTTAAAAACTCAGCTAAGCACCTAGAAATCTTGCCACAAAAAATACTTAATGACTCCATAAAATCTATGAAGAATGTTCCAAATCTATCGGTTTCTTATTCCAAAATTGCACTAAAAAAAAACCAAAAAAACAAAATTGCACTCAAGCTAGCATGCTAATAAGCATTACAAGAGAATATGGAGTAGGAAGATATAAATCAATGGTTTTCAATAATGGTGGTAGTGAAGAGCTTGAATAATTTCATATATAAAACACAAAATATTTTTATTATATAAACCACAAATTAAGATTCTTCTTTAGTGGTAGGTCACTTAAGAGATCTGGTATGATTTTAGGAGTCTTTGGGAGGATATATCACAATCTCTGTGTATGTTTGTGTGAGACAGTTTCTCAGTAAGAACCATGGATTTCAAATAAGTTAAAAAAAACACTGATTTTTGGGGTGCCTGGGTAGCTCAGTTGGTGAAGTGCCAACTCTTAGTTTCCGCTCAGGCTGTGATCTCAGGGTTGTAAGATCAAGCCCCTCTCCTCTGCCTGCCTCCCAATGAATTAATAAATCTTTAATTTAAAAAAAACCAATTGTTTACCTAAGGGTTAGTTAGGATCTGCAGCATTTAACAACAGTCTTTGAGAGAGAACTTACAGCCCTGGTAGTGATGTGTTGGTATTAATAAGTATAATTATTCCTATAATTACAAGTGTTGGAAGTGGCTGAAAATCCCCAGGGAAATCCATAAACTTTTTATGGAAACCAGAAATGCATTAGGATCTCAGAAATTAATAATGTATGATTAAAATGAAAAAAAGAAATAATTTGATTAAAAGAAAACATGCTTTTCTTCTGATCCTGAGTATTCTAGTGACTAGGAGCTAAGGGGATTATGACTGACAACTTAATCCTAAGCAAGAAACTAGGTAACTATTGGAGAGTAAAATGCAACTCAATAAATAAAGGAACTCAAAGACTCCACTTACTGGCTTACTAAATTTAGTTTAGGGGTTCATTAATGTCTGCTTTTGTTCCTAATCATTTCTAAAACATAGTCATCTTAGTTTACTGTTTTGTTTTTTGGTTTTTTTTTAGAATGAAGCACTGAAAAGTGAAGAAGGCTGCATTCCAAATGTCGCCCCAGACATCTGCATAGCATATAAACTGCACCTAGAGTGTAGCAGGCTAATCAACCTTGTAGACTGGTCAGAGGTAGGTCAGGGGGAACAGAGTAAGCTATTTGTCTAACCATCCATAAGAGTTCTCCTGGGGTTTTTTAACTTTTAGGGCTTTGAAACTCCTCTTTTCTTTTCTTTTTTTAACGCCCTGTTCTTTTGTTTGGAAAGCATAAATCACTTCATACTGCAAAATCTCCTCCAGAAGAGCAGTTAACTGCTTAACAGTCTCATCCCAAGTCCCCTGCACTCTGATTCGACACACCTCAACCAAGCCAATTCTACATTCATGCTAGGTCAAAATAAGTACGTGATCTAAAGCCACAGTTAACAGTAAGCAAAAGCTAAACAGTTTAGGTTGGTTCTGTTTTTCACAAAATAAAGGTGCATTATTAACTAGCATTTCCTTTATCACAAAAAAAGAAAAAATATTAGAATAACTATACTATACAACAGATTTAGCAATCAGGAAGTACAAGGAATACTTGGCAAGGCAGTGGAAGACAACAATTAAGATAAACAATTTCTTTCCATCCTCAGAAGAGCATTACAAAGTTAACTCTTTTGAAGGTCTTATTTAACAGATGTCACCATTTAAAAATATGCATAATTGGCACCTTCTAAGATAAGAAGTTTTGAGAATCTGGAATTTGGTGTAATATTTTAAAAAATGTACCAGCTATCATCAGCAGCAGTGCTTGACCTGCTTCATACAGAGTCATCAAGTGCAATAAAAGATATTTGGCGGTGGTAGAGATTTTTATTTTCTTCTGTCTTGTCTCTCAAAAGGCTTTTGCAACAGTTGTGACAGCTGCTGAAAAAACGGATGCAGATTCTGCAACCTCAGAAGAAAGGAATGAAATTATCCAGTATCCTTTTAACAAATCAGTTTTATAACATTCAAGTATACATGGAGTAGAAGTTTACAGTTTCCCTAGACCTACAATATTTATAAAGATGTGCTCCAAACTACTTTATTATTTAATATTAACCACACCATCCCAGAATAACTTGTTTCTACATATCTATTCTGATTTTAACCTAAAATGAGACCTAATGTAAAATATTTGGTCTAAAACTTCTATCAAGGTTATACTCCAGAATTCAGCAACAATGTCAAAAAACTATTATTCTGTTTTTCTATGGTGAGTAGATACTTCTGGGGGAGCAATTTTCATACTGTATGAAAAATTAGAATTATGTAAGCATTAAGTACTTTACCATTCATGTCTTATTGAAGTGGATTCTAATTACATTTGTTCTTTTCCAGTAAGGATTAAAACTTAATTTAGCATATGTATTTGAACTGTACTTAACAGGTGATGTTTAACACTGAGATTTTAAAATTTGTCAAAAAATTTAACAGTGAATTTCCTTAGCCACAGCCTTCAGTGCTCGGTTTATTAGAGCTGTTTCTGAACTAGAACTTTTAGGATTTATAAAACCTACCAAACAGAAGACTGACCATGTGGCAAGGCTAACATGGGGAGGCTGCTAGAAAGCCATGGAATGAAGCCAGAAGTATCACATTAAGCTTAAGAGAAAAATGAGACCAGGCATATTTACATACCACCGGAAGACTCTTGGTGAGAAATGTGTAATCCTTGTGTGTGTTTGATCAGAAAGTACTGTTAACCCAAACAGGAATATATCAAAAACACCTCTGGAGTACTTTAGAACCCAACAAATGACATGCTTATTACATTGTAACTACAACCTCCTCCACATTATCACTGTAATTTTCAGTCATTTCTAAATAATAAATTGTTCTTGAGCAGTTTACAGAGGTAATAAATGCCTTTATCCACGAGTATTAAATTTGTTACGGTTGATTTCATATCACTCATTTCTGCTCCCCTAGTTTTTTGGACTGGCATTCCTCACTTTAGTAAATTGCATAGTAAGAAAGACAACTATCCTACAGGATTTCTCCTAGTGACTATATAGGTTCTAAAACTGCCTCTGCTGCCCCATTTCTTTTAGTCTGAAAACTTAAAAAAAAAAAAAATCCCAAGCTCTTTGGCTTTATGTGTAAAGGGAGTAAATATTCTACTTTAGGATGACCCATCATGGATCCTTTAAGACCTTTACCAATCACATTTCAATCTTGTAAAGTCCAAATGAGGAAAAAGTAAATCCCAAATGGAATGACATCTGGATTTCTTCCATGACAAGAACTCATCAAGACAATGAAACAAAGATACACCAAATTCATTATTTAATGTTTTAAATCCCATGAGAATTCCGGGACATAGCTTTAAGAGTATTCACTAACTTATCAAAATTACCAATGCAAATATGACAAGGGAAAAAAATCCAAATTCAGTAAAATCTTGGTTCACAAATATTAGTTATGTAATTGTAGGCCTTTCTTGTGTGTGCTTTGAGGACAAATTTAATGCAGGTTTTAATTAATTTATTGCAAAGAAATTTGATAGCTTAAATAATTCTAGAGTGTAAAGGATATGTCATACAGGGTGGAGTATTTTTATCCTCTGACAACATGAGGGCTGAGATGACATTAATGGGTAACTGCCTCCTTCTCCCTCTTCCTGTCCCAAAAACACACAAAAAAAAGTGTTAGATGTGCACTGTATCCCTCCCAAATTATAAAATGTTGCTAGGCTCAAAAAGGGAAATAAAGAACTACATGCCAGAACAAAAAGCATCTAGCCCTATAGAACTTTTAGACAATTACTAGAATTGCATTACTGAGATAAATGTCTTCTCATCTAAAAGATGCCAGGATTTCTTACTGAGCCATAGACATAGAGGCTTTTGACACTTGGGAATCCATGTGTGAAAGGCAGAGAGCCTCTGCCAAATGGGTATGATTGGAGCAGAGGTAGGTATGAATAAAGCAGACTTTATTCTGTGAAGTCTCCATGACTTGACAGCAACTAGTTTTTTTTTTTTTTAATATTCTAAAAATTTTTTTTTAATATTCTAAAATTTTAAATAGTCATTCCCCCTTCCAGTCACATGTGCTCTCACCATGTTTCATTTTTTATAACAGTTGGTAAAATCTAAGGAAAGAATGTATGGATGATTTTGAGCATTTTCCACTTACTACCTATTTAAGTGAGGCTGTCAGAAATGGGAGAGATTTTCCAGTATTCTGTGCTAATTAATGTGAAGACACCATCAATATCTACAATGTGATTTCTTCAGCTTTCAAATGGTGCCAATGAGCACCAGAGAAAATTATGACTAGAAACTATGAATTTCAAAACTCATAGTAATATGCTTACACGGTAAGGTACAGAGGAACTGGCCTCATACAGACCAGATTTATCTCTGAGTAGGAGTAGCCCTGCTTTTTCTTTTGCTGGGCATTTAATTGAATTCATGCTACTACCTAAATGCATATTATAGAGTGAACTACTTTTTCTTACTACCTACGATTAGGATGGAAATTTGTTTTTAGAGTGAATACCCAAAAAAACTATAAAATTAAACTCACAAAGCTCATTTATTGCGATTATGGAGCACAAACCACTCAAAGCCAGCCCTATTTTAAGCATCACCTCAATTCTGTGTCCATTACTTAATACAGTAAAACTTCATCCAAAACACCTTACAAATGGGATATTCTGATTGACTAAATCTTTGTTCAGTAAAATACTAATCTGCAAACGCTAGAGCAGTTTGAAATTTGTTGAAAAACTTTATGGAGTGCATACCATACTCTAGCCACTGTGATACTTATGTGAACAAAGATCTTTGCCCTCCTTGCAGAGGGAGCAGAACAGAGAATTATATTGTAGGTTACGGGAAAACAAAACCAGAATATCATGCTGCGGTTTTAAAACAGTGGTCACAGCAGGTCTCATTGAGATGAGTTTGTGAACAACTCAAAAGTTGGTAAAAGATTTACTTGTGAAGTTCTATGGAAGTGCACTGTGAGTAAGAGAATAGCAGTAACAAAAGGTCTTTAGGCAGGAGTATGCAAACTACATGGGAGGACCAGCGGGGCTGGCCAATGTGGGATAGGCAGGGTGAGCAGATGGGAGACAAGAATTAAATAAGGGAGGGGGAGATAGAGTACATGTAATTTAAGGCCCTGTAGACCACTGTAAAGTCTTGATTTTTAATCAGGTAGGAAGCCATCTAAGTAAAAGACTTAGAGCTTTAAGTGATCACTCTGCTAGAAGAGTAGACTGGAATGGTTGGTGAGGAGACAAAGATGAATGAAGCAAAACTAATGACCAATTAGGCAATCACTGAATGGTCTAAGCAAGACATAATATAGTAGAATGGTGAGACTTTAGAATGGAACCAAGATTTGATGGACTTTTTGTCTGCAGAACTAGAATAGAGATGCCATTAACTGGGGATGATGATCAGGATGGTAAAGTCAAGAGGCAAAGTTTGGTTTTAGACCTAAGTTTTGAGACTTCTATTAGATATCCAAGTGGAAATGTCTCCATAGAGAGGTGAATATATAATCTTATGTCTCTAGGATGAGATGTGATCACCAAACGGAGTATGAACAGAGGTGGCAAGGAGGCTAAGGTCAAACTCTGGGATAGATGTTGGTTTTTAACATTTGGAAAAATGGGCAGCAGGGAAAATGAAAAAAGACAAGTTATATAGAAGAACCAGACAGACCAAGAAGGGGAGCCAATAAAGTAGGAGGAAAATCAGGCAAGTGTGGTATCTTACAAGCCAACTTAAGAGTGTTTCAAGATCAAATATTGATTAGATTTAGCAACGTGGAAATCATAGTAGTAGAGAAAGGTCTGATAGGCAACACATATCAGATGACCTAACAAATGTCCAAACTTACCACTAGTCTTGGGAAGGCCATACATTGTGTGATGTGAAATGAAGACTACAGGATCAAAAGTTGTTTTAAGGCTTAATGAGTGACTAAGCATGAAGGAGGGGCAGAGGAAGAAACAAACTTCAGCAGACTCCTCACTGAGCTCAGAGCCCAACGTGGGGCTTGATCTCAAGATCCCAAGATTGTGACCTAAGCTGAAACCAGAGTCAGACACTTAAACAACTGCACCACCCAGGAGCCCCTCAAGACATTTTTTTAATGGCATTATTTACTTACTGTGCTTCTGGGAATGATCCAATAGAAAATGGATGCAGTGTAGAGAAGACTCTTTGAATGAGACAGGGACTTAGATCTAATGCTCCTTACCTAGGGCAAGTATAGGAACAGAATTGCTAGAACCATTCTAGGAATAGACAAGGGTGGCAGTGCTTTACCAGAATATTTGCTTATTTTTTTTTTAAATGTTTTTTTTTAATTTTTATTTATTTATTTATGATAGTCACAGAGAGAGAGAGAGAGAGAGAGAGAGAGAGAGAGAGAGAGAGAGGCAGAGACACAGGCAGGGGGAGAAGCAGGCTCCATGCACCGGGAGCCCGACGTGGGATTCGATCCCGGGTCTCCAGGATCGCGCCCCGGGCCAAAGGCAGGCGCCAAACCACTGCGCCACCCAGGGATCCCAGAATATTTGCTTATTAAACACCAGTTACCGTAGAACTTTAACTAAAGGAATACAGAGAACCCAAATAAGACCAAGACCATTATTTCCAACCCTGGCTGCTTGGATTACCTAAATAGATTCCAACAGTGCTTCTCTCCCCATAACCTTCCAGAGCAGTCTAAGGAGTTGGAACCTGGGACTCTTTCCTAAAAGCTCTCCAGTTAATACTGCTGATACAAAAAAAAAAAAAAAAAAAAAAAATTTGCCTCATTTGTTAATGTTTCATTTATTTACTATTTTCTTTAGAGAAGTTCTTGCTGTAAGCCAAAGATAACTTTGATATTCTAAATCTCCAATATCTATTTTTCTCAGATTGCCTATGCCTATTTTTCCTCAAAAATAGAATTATACCTGGTGATATGGCCTTGTTAATCCGGGATTTACTGAACACGTTATATAGCAACCTAAGTATAATACCATACCAGTATTGCCTTTTACTAAAAGAATGACAGCGCATGTAATTCTGTAGCTATTTATCTTTGAAAAGTAATTTCAGGGATCTCTGGAAATTCAGAATCCCTAGGTAGTTAATATCTTTCTGAGATTAACTATGGTTGGTATTTGGACTAGAGTAATCAACTACTGGGGTCCATCTAATTACAATTAAATCCAAGAGGTTGCCTACATTTCTTATTTTCTGGCATTACTTCACACAATTACTGGAAATCATTAAGGTAGCCAATATTTACCTTTTGGTAAAGTAATAGGCAGAAATTTGACTGCAGAGGAAATATTCTTGATCCACTTGAATCTAGAATTAAAACTGTATTACTTATAGCTCCGTGGAGATTGCCAGTACAGATTTTCCTTTTAGTATCTTGCCCTCCAAGTTTGAAAACCAGTTCTTTTATCAATTTAAATATATGAAAATTCACACATGTTTACTTAAACGTGTTGATCATTTTTGTCCTTACTGGGGTTAAGGGATAAAATGTATTTATATTCACTCACCTCCCACCCCTCCATGTTTCAACTTACTGCCTGCATTTTCCTAGAAATCCCAGTATTTTGGTGGTCACAAGTGGGGGGTGGGATGGGTGGGTGTGGTGTGCTATTGGCATCTAGTGGTAGAGGCCAGAAATGCTGCTAAACATCCTATGCACAGTAGGCTCCCACAATGAAGACTGATCGGCCCAAACTGTCAGTAGTGCTAAGGTTGAGAATCTCTATCAGTCCATTAAAACTAGGTAGAATTACCCACCTTATTTATGGCTACCCTGCACTATACCAACCTTTCTCAAGCACTTAATGGGCATATGAATTATCTGAGGATCTTGTGAAAGCCCTCAAGCCCTGGCCTTGTTTAAACAAGGAATTGATGAGGTATAATCACCAAAATTAAAAAGGCAAAAAAATACTTTCTTCTACTAATTAGGTCAATTATAAATATAAATGCCCCAGTACATTTATGATTGATTTAATTAGTGGAAATATGCTAAAATAATTCAACAAAAGAAATCACTGAAGCATTTTTTTGCTCACTTCATTGTAACAAAGCTGTGTTTGGAAAGGGAATTAAAGGTGCTGAATCATGCTTTCATCTATCATCTTTAAAAAAAAAACTTGGATTCTACTGATACCATGGAGGTAAAAAATTTACAGCTGTTAAAACATCTATTATGTAACATTCTATCATGTGGTCAGTTATAAACAATTTGGAATCAGAACTCAGTTTTGAAAATAGCACTCACATCTTACATTACTTGGTATATGAAAAGATTTTTAAATCTTACTGGAAAATCAACTTCATTGATTCCTGGAAAATGCTTACATTTAAAACACTGGCTTTATTCAGATATTACCCATCTGTACATTAAAGCAAATTAGAAGTAAATGTTTTATTCTTCCAGCTATATACCAGTACTATATATAAGGCCAATAAAACGACAACACACTGGGGGAAAAATGCAGCAATAAACATTTGTTAAAAAGACTGATAAAATAAATAAAAACTACCCAAAAAAAGAAAAAAATTTAAGGGAAAAAAATCCTGTAAATCCTTTCTGAAACCCCAAGAAGTCCTGGAATACAGAAATGCCCTCCCTCTTTCACGATTTCACAGGAAGCGCTGTAGGCTATTTGCTTAATAATGTCCTGGGATTACATTCTAAATTATTAATACCTGGTTACAGCTTGGTTGGAGTGCACAATTAAAATCACACTAACTTCATCTGAAATGTCATTCTACAGTTTTATTTACACAACCAGTGAAGGGCATGTTCTTAGAATACCAGCTTTAATCCTTTTCAAACATATTAATATAAGAAGCCAAATTGTAATGATACAGCAAATGAGGCCACTGGCATTAATACAGGTAGCAAAGGTCCACATCCAGATGGTACTGACATCAGGGTAATTTCCAAAACCAGTTGCTGCCTAAGAGTGGTTGCCACTGACGAAAGCTTGAAATAACCTGTATTCACAGGGGGGTATTGGCATTGCTGCATGTCATAATTAGGACCTCTTGCAACAACTCAACAAGGAACAAGGCAGCCCACAAATGCAGAAAACGTGATTCATGAAACATCTAAAGGGGGAGGAAAAGGAAAATTAGTGCAAAGTCCAGGTCAAAATTCAAAGACATACCAGAACTTCAACCCCAATGCTGCCCTACATATTTAAGTAAATGAAAGTAAAACTTTAGTAAAGTTTTGCTGCCTACCTCCTCGAACCTTTTTCTCCATGATTTTGTTAAATTCTCTTGAGCATGTAGATAATTACAGTAATTGTCTTCTCCATAAAGGATGGAGATACTTACAACTAGCAGGCTGTTCTCCGTATCGTCGCATTATTTGATCATGCGTAAACTTCACAAATGCATCATATTGTTCTATAAATAAAGGTACATATCAATTATAAAATTTGCAAAATGTACTAATATTTTAGAGCCAGATAAACTCTGAAAAAAATCTAATATGTATAGTGAAACAATTCTAAATTGGCCCTTTGAATCAGACCCATAACCTCTGTAATAGTAATTAGTTTTATCAAATCAAAGAACAGAGCTTGGTCAGGAAACCTACAAATGTCCAAATCAACCTCATGTATAGGGTAGGAGCTTATTTCTTAACTTATTAAAAATAAAAGGCTATCTTTCTACTCTGAAAGTTTACTGTAAGTGATCTATGAGTGGCAGTATTTTTTTTTTTTTTTTAAGATTTTATTCATGAAAGACACATGGAGAGAGAGAGAGGCAGAGACACAGGGAGAAGGAGAAATAGGCTCCATTGCAGGGAGCCCGACGTGGGACTCCATCCCAGGACTCTAGGATCACACCCTGGGCCGAAAGCAGGCGCTAAACCACTGAGCCACCCAGGGATCCCCGAGTGGCAGGAAGTACTTAAATGAAAAGAAACAGAAAAACAAAAGTTTAACAAATATGTCCAAAAGCATCCACATGTAGCCTAATCAACTGTCACAGAAAAAGATGTTACAAAAAAAATAAATAGAAAAGAAAAAGACATTACATAACTAAGCAAATTCTCTTGCCTATATTAGCCCCTTCATTTAAGACTTTAGAATAAAAAAGCTTACACTATCAATACCGAGTAGAATCTGGCTTAAAAATCGGGGAGAAAAACGTCCTCATTAACTGACCATACACAATAAATGTATCTAGACTGATGGGAAAGTTCTCATGAAAGATGTAGTCTAAAAATCCAAAAGCAAACTGAGGTGAATAGCCAAGTCAAATGTTCAGCACAGGAATATCAAAAGAAAAATCTAGTTCACATTAATACTGTTCCTGATCTATAAGGTTAAGTAATACTATTTCTTGAGGTCACTAAGGAGGGCCATGAGCAACAGGAAAGTTAACTTCCTTTCTCGAACTGAAATTCTCCAGTTCTTAGAAAACATACTGTAACCAGTGGATAGATAGGATAATTTAACCAACATTAAGGACATGTGGGAAATAATGCATTTCTTAACAGTAAGCTTCTAGGAGATTCTAAAATAATTTCATACCTGCAAGTTTTGTGTTCAATATTTCTTCATACTCTTCTCGAACTTTCTCTTCACGTTCTTTCAACAAACGTTCACAGATCATCCCAACCTGTCGTAGAGTAAATAAGGGCTGTTCTTTTTTTAATGGTGAGGATGTTGCAGATGAAGTCCCTATGTATAACATGAACCCAAAAAAAAAAAGCACGATTTAGAGCCATCATAAAAAGGATCTTCTAAATGCAGAGGTTTCATTTGGATCTTTTCAGTTTTCATATGAAAGCATTTTCTGTAAGTTTTTAGCACAGTATTTCCCAAGGAGTCTTAAAACAGGTTTAATACTATCAGCTATTTACAACTCTAGAAAAACACAGCAAGATGTATATAATCAAATTATAAAGTAAAAAGTCTGAAGGTAATTGGAGAAAAGTACAAGATACAAACAAAACTTAATAAAGTTTATGTTTTTTTAGTTAAGGAGTAACAGCTAGGTAAAAAATACTGTGAATATAATCCTAATATTCAACATTAAATTTTATGGTTCAGAGTGCTTAAGATTATTAATGGAACAGCCACTTAGCATCATCAGATAGTGATACTTGATATAAAAGATTTCTTCAGAATGCATTCCTCTTAAAGTACTACTTAATGAACTTACATCATTATTTATTGAAAAGAACATCTGAAATTAATCTTTTGAAAACTCAGGATTATGACATGATGTTCTATTTTAACACTGCTCCAAGTATTTTATACACACTCAAATACATAGATTTGCTATCAATTGTCCTGCTCTGTGTACCTGTTCCTGGACCCCCAATCCTCTTTTCACTTTTTTGTAACATGCATGGCTGGGACCACTTAATTAATATGCTTGTTAGAGCTGTGTCTATCACAAAATAAAGTATAACAACTTTGTAACTATGAAGGCTATCTTCCTAGCTTTGTTAGTTGAGGCTGCCAGTTAGTTGATCTAAATAAATTGACTGAATGATGATGACTTAGTTTCCTGCTGATATAAATCTAATCTCTACCCTCACCTCCCCCTAACAATGTTTCACCCATGTATACACACCTATCTCCCCACCCCCGCAAACTGGCAGGAATACGGCAGAATTTAGTTTTGAACAATTTTATGTGTCCTAATCTAATTTCATGACTATTTTATAGCCTTTGAATTTTTTTTTTTTTTAAATAAACTCTACCACCCAATGCAGGGCTCGAACTCAAAACCCTGAGATCAAGAGGTGAATGCTCTACCTACAGAGCCAGCCAACAGCCCCTGAATGGTTTTTTATTCTGATAGGTTTTCTTATCCTTCCTGGGAGGAGGAAATGAAAGGGGGCAGGCAACTTTGGTCACAAGAAAAACTATTTTGCTGAGAATTTTACTAAACTAAGAGCCAGTTTGCAAACCTTTAAGAATCTATCCTAACAGGACAAATGTATGAAGGTGCATGAACGAGGACACTTTTGTAAATACTTTTATTACCGGAAATTCAGTCTGATTATCTTCATTAGTGGTTAAATAATTATGAGAAGTTCATAAAAGGGCATAATAGTCAACCATGGTAAGGTGCATCTACACTTAACAGAGAAAGTTAATATTTTTGTTTTAATGAAGGCTACAAATCGTAACCCTTATGGGGAAGTCCACTTAGGGGTATTATATCCAGGTGGTTGTCTCTGAGTAGTGGGAATCCAGGCAGCAAATACTTACTTTGTACCATATTCTACAAGATCATGAATTATTTGTATAAACATTTTTAAACCAAGGGGGAGAAACAGAAACTTGAATGATTAAAGGCAATTTAAGATTACCTTTTCCCATACTAAGTAACATTTCCTTTCACTTATTACTAAGTTTATTATTACCTGGTGAAGCTGGTCCACTGAGGAGAAATGCATGTGGTTGTGCCTCAGAAGTACAACATGGATCTGTCTGTTGGAAACTAGTTTCTAAATGTCTTCTCTTCTGCATGCGTTTATACTCTTGTTTTATGTTGTACAGAATTTGTTCTAGAAGGAAAAAATTGGGAAGATAAAAACTATGAAGTTTAAAAAAAAGAAGGCTGTTTCCAACAATTAGTACAATCAATCTACTGAAAATATTTTCTTCAAATAATATCCAGACAACTGATATTCTTGAGGAATTTGTTTCAGCATTAATGGGGGCACTCATTCAGAAATAGCATATACACACCACCAGGATTTGAGCTATATCCTACAACACCATTCTTTCTGAGCATTGATTAGCAAAAGACAAATTTAAGTTTTTCATTCAAAGTAAAGGGAGTCTTGTGAACTTCTAATTCAATTTAGTTTAACTCAGAGTCTTAAAAATCCCAAATTCAAAGGCTACTTATTCATCACACACAGAACTATTAAACAGTCTTTGAAAAGACAATAATTAGAAGTGGGGAGCACTATAAGTATATATATAAGCACAAACCAGTGAGTATTGACAGCAGGTCAAACAAAATGACAAAGTTGATGGGGAACTAAAAATTACTATACATTAAATGGTCATGGCCATCAGTCCAACAGAAATATTACAGCATTAACAACAAAAAGTGTTGTTCTGAATCTTGGGTGTAAAAACCCACATAAAGTGGTATGTAACAGGTACTCAGTAAGAACCATCGTACCACAGTGCCATTACCTTCAACCACAACCATCTAAACAGGTAAAATCCTATCAAGCGTGTACCTTTGGCCAGTATGGTTCATTCTGGAAAGATTAGTAACTCAATATAGAGTTACTATTTAGCCTCTTTAGAAAATCCCTCCCTTGAGGTTTCCACTACCCTCGAAACAGACTTTCCTACAACCACCATAGCTCCTAGATTATCCATGTGAAACTACATCCTAAATTTATTAATCCCAACCCAAAACAAATTTAAACAAAAATTAAGGTGGCTTTAATTCTACAATGGTGTGTTAATTTTAAAAATTTTAAAATGAACTGAAAGCTTACTTGAAGGCTAAAGATTTGTGGAAGATGAAAATTTTTTTAATTTAATTTAAAATTAAATTAAAAAAATTTAATACTGGTGGGTTTTTTTGTTTTGTTTTGTTTTGTTTTTTTTTAGGTATATACTTAATTCTCCCATTTCTTTTCTCAAACTGTATTATTTCCCCAGTAAGAACTTTTAGGGCTTTTGAAGAAGAATCTGAGGGGACAGTCAGTCCCCTTACACATTTTAGATCCTGCCAATTTCATTATTTTAACTGAGAAAAAGTTGCAAAAAGATACATTCTGTGAAGAAGCTCTATTTGTGTAAATTTTGTGGGTGAACAAACCTGTTACATATACAAGAATCTGCGGCTTAATAAGCACTACAGAATTACACACTGGAAGACTGAATAAGAAGTACTTTATCTGTAACATTTTTCAGAATCTTAACATTTGTTTATATTAAAAATGGTCATTTTCAGTCTTTTCCATTTATTTGAAATAGTCTGTGATTTAAAAATGAAGGTACCGGGATCCCTGGGTGGCTTGGCGGTTTAGTGCCTGCCTTTGGCCCAGGGCTTGATCCTGGAGTCCCAGGATTGATTCCCCCATCGGGCTCCCTGCATGGAGCCTGCTTCTCCCTCTGCCTATGTCTCTGCCCCTCTCTGTATCTCATGAATAAATAAATAAAATCTTAAAAAAATAAAATAAAAATGAAGGTACCATGGGATGAGCACTAGATGTTATACTATATGTTGGCAAATCAAACTTCAATAAAAAATTAAAATAAAAATGAAGATACCAAGTGTGAAATAAAATGGCTGTCTCCTGAACAGTTAAGTACCTTGATAGAAATGGGTTTCAAAGAAAGAAAGAAAGAAAGAAAGAAAGAAAGAAAGAAAGAAAGAAAGAAAGAAAGAAAGAAAGAAAGAAAGAAAGAAAGAAAGAAAAAGAGAAAGAAAGGGAAAGGGAAAGGGAAAGGGAAAGGGAAAGGGAAAGGGAAAGAAAGGGAAAGGAAAGAAAGAAAGAAAATGGGTTTCCTAAGATTCACAGAGGGGTCAAACAAGATCTAGCCTAAGATTAATGTAGTAAAACCTTTTAAAATTTAGCTTTGTATTAGATGGTAGTCTAATACTTAAGAGATGCTATAACAAGCTAAGGAATCTTTAAATATAATTTACAAAATAAATTCACCAATTTAATTGTACAACTTGAAAGGTTCTCACAAATGCATGCATACAGGTCTTGAAACCACCACTATCATAATAAAGAACTTTATCACCTCAAAAAGTTCTCCTATGCTCCTGCTCCTATTCACCCCTCACCTTCATTACCATAATATTCATCTGCTTTCACTATCTGAAACATTTTTGCCTTTTTGAAAATTTATCATATAAATGGAATCATAAAAAGTATAGATTTGTGTATGATTCAGTAAAATGCTTTTGAGATTCATACATGATGTTTCATGTATCAGTAAGTCCTTTCTTTTTATTTAGTACTCCATCGTGTCTATATATACACACACATGCACACACCCCTTATCCAATCTCCTCTTTCTTTCTTTTCTTTCTTTCTCTTTCTTTCTTTCTTTCTTTCTTTCTTTCTTTCTTTCTTTCTTTCTTTCTTTCTTTCTTTCTTCCCCCCCCCCCAATCTCCTTTTAATGGACATTTGAATTGCTTCCAACTTGGGGCTATTATAAATAAGGCTACCATGAACATTCAAGTACAAGTCTACAGGTGGATGAATTTCATTTCTCTTGAATAAATACCTAGAAGAGGAATTGGATGGCCTGATTATGTGGTTAAGAGCATGGTAAGAAACTGACAAACCATTTCCACAGTAATTGTACCATTTTACATCCCCACCAGCAATATATATGTGAGAGTTCCAGCTGCACTACACCTTTGCCAACTTGATACTATCAACTAAAGAGCTGAAGAATTTTTAAAAGATGTATTTATTTTAGAGACAACTCATGTGGACATGCGTGTGAGGGTAGGAAGAGGGAGAGAATCCTCAAGCAGACTCCCTGCTGAGGAGCCCCATGCAGTGGGGCTCTATCCCAGGACCCTGAGGTCATGACCTGAGCCAAGATCAAGAGTAGGGTCCTCAACCGACTGAACCACCCAAAGAGCTGAATAGTTTTGAATGCTTTGCCTCAATGCTTTTTCATCTAATATGATGCAACTATGTCATCCAAGCCTCCTCATGTGCATAAATGCTCTAATACTGGTAACATGTAAACAACAGTGTTATTCAGTGAATAATCCAACTTAACTTGACCAAGATCTCAGCTAACTTCAGGTCTCAAACTCATTTATCTCAATTTGGAGAGGTATACAGTTTTAAAGGTATTAACTCAAGAAATTTCCCCAGATTCAATTTTCCACAACTCACATTGTAAATTCAACCTAGATACCTGGCTGACTGAAGTTGCTTCTTGTATCAGCTGGATAGAGGTCTTCCATTCATCAATAAAATTCTTATGTCTACCTAGTCTTAAACTACTTAAATCTAGCCATCTTTCATCAAACTGCCAAGTGACATTTTATTCCAAGTACATATAATACGTAATAGTGTGTTGCCAACACAATCTATGGTCCATTAAAGAAAAAGTCAAATCAAATGAAGCTTTACTTACATATCAGTTGCACATGCCAGTTTTAATAATGCTGCCTTCATATTTGGCTTATGTGCACAGGACGAATTTGTAGCAAATCACTTAGAGCAAAATATACAGTTATCTTCATATCAAACTACACCACAAATGGTGGTTATATCCCTTGTCAGAATCCTAAAAACTATATCCTCCTTTTACCATAAAATACTAAGATTTCTTCCACCTCACTAGGTCTACATGAAAGTCAGCAAATTCTGTGACTAATGGCATTTTCATTCCCAAATCTAGTAAATGCCATTAAGATTGCCAATAAAATTCTTCTCCTTAACAAATGAGAGATTATCAATGAGCCAGCATTTATTCCTCAAGAGTATTTTTTAAAACCCATAAACTGAGTAAAAAATCCAGGTAAATGTGAAAAGAAAAAGTCTGGCTTGTGGCAGTATTAAGCCTACTCCCAAACTGTTTTATTCATTTTAGTTGCCACTGATTACTTAAGAAAGCCTGTGCCAATAAGGTCAATACAGAAGAAGAAAGCAGTTGATGGGATTAAGAAATAAGTCGACATGTGTAAGAGAAATAGCAAGATGAAATTGAGAGCAGAGAGGAATATGGAATTAGATGCAACTACAAATGTCCTTCTAGATACAGTCCATAAGATGTCTAAAAATGTGACGTGAAACTAAACCTTTGCTTTAGACCTGCGTAAACTTGCTGTTTTCCCATTGACATAATTAGTAAATCAAACATAACAAGTCTCATTAACAGTTTAAATTAAAAAAGTTTTAAGTTTAGGTATATAAGACATTTTTGTATCACCTTCATTTCTCTATGAAGTATCTTTGAAAAAATAAAGTGAAAGTTCATCTAACCAACTCAAGCAATGGGATTAAAAATAAATAAATTTTCAAAGTTCTAGGTAGAACACAAATGAAAAAACTTGTACACAAGTAAAGAAAACCTGCAATTGGCAATAAGACCTAAAAATAAGGAACTGCCGAACTGTACCAAATAAAGTAACAAACCAAATCTAGATCTCTGAACTACATACTAGACATTGTCAACATACACAACTGAGTCACACTATGGAAGCCCATCTTTGTAAATAAAGTATTTTCCCAGGATATGTCTAGAAACTAAAACAGCTCTTATGTTCTCTTTGAAGGAATCTTAAGGACAATGTTCTTACTCAGCCAAGAGCTATCTAACTAAAAAGAATGAGTTGATGCCATTTTTAATTCACTTTAAAATTACTACGTCAAAGGGACCTGGAACCAAATTTTAACACAAGATTATCAAATCATATCTAGAAGTGTTTTTTTTTTCTTAAAGATTTTATTTATTATTTAATTTACTTATTTGAGTGAGAGCACATACACAGCAGGGAGATGGTAGAGGAAAAGGGAGAAGTAGGCTCCTGGCTGAGCAGGGAGCCAAGAT